GAGGGGGGAGGGGGGGGGGTTATACACCAACATATCAACCCCACAACAACACCTCTGGGGTTATTACAACACAATATGCCAATAAAAATATTCTGTAATACAAAAGAGAGAAATAAAATTGTGCATGATTAAAGCATGTTTATCCCTAAATGTGCATATAAATAAACTCAATAGACACCTTCTGACTGCCGAGTAGATTTAGTATTTCTACATCCTGGCTCTAAGCAAAGACCCACTCACCGCAATAAGACGTATATCCATACCATAATTACACCCAACCCTACCTACAGCCCATGTCTCTAACACCCAGGTGAAATATTAAAAAGTTTGACATCTATTTGACTCCTTTCATTTCATTTCCATCTTGTTTGATATTGACATATTTTGAGTCCTCTTTCTTTCTTTTTTCTTTTTTTCAAATACCTTCATATTTTACCCTCACTGCATTGCCAAAACACTCTGAAATGCTGAAATTCCAAAAGATATGTTGGATAAATGGTGGCAGTATAATGGGGTTTCATTTTGTACAATGAAGCATTGTTTTGTTACTTGACTCAAGTAACTTATCTAACCTCCATAACATGTCCCTGACCCCGAGATAATATCTTGACCCTGTAGCAAAATGTATACTACTTATCCAGCTATCCAGTTCCAGCGAAATCCTGGAGGGGCCACAGAGTTAAAGATTGTCCCTCCTCTTATCCATTTTCTTGTAATTATACGTCGAATTGCCCTTCTAATTTTTTATATTGACTAAAAATTGCTGGAAAAAGTTTCCAGGACATTCCCTGGAATCAGGGTTCAGCTTCCAACCCCTATCCCCAAATCATGTCATCCTTCTGACCCCTACTTCAAGGTCACACCATTTCTATCCCATTACAAGGTCATGCTATATATCCTACCAATGTCAATTTCAATGCCATATCCCTGACCAGTTTGTACCCTGCCCCACCATTAGGTAATGCCATCCAAAGGAAACCACCAATATAAACACATAACTTCAGTTCTGGGTCTTAGGCACTTAGTACATCTCCATTATCCATCCCCTAAGTAATTTGCCCCACCCCTAGAGAACCTACATTCGGCACTTTTTAACATATTCTGACTCCTGGGCCATGTCCCCACCCCCATTTCTTAACCTCAGATCTGCCCCACCCCCAGGGGAAACCTACATTCAGCTCTGTTTAACATATTCTGACTCCTGGGCCATGTCCCCATCCCCATCTCTTAACCTCAGATCTGCCCCACCCCCATGGAAAACCTACATTCAGCTCTGTTTAACATATTCTGACTCCTGGGCCATGTCCCCACCCCCATCTCTTAACCACAGATCATCAGCCCTACCACCAGGGAAAACCTACATTCGCTCTGTTTAACATATTCTGCCTCTTGGGTCATGTCCCCACCCCCATTTCTTACCCTCAGATCTGCCCCACCCCCAGGGAAAACCTACATTCGCTCTGTTTAACATATTCGGGCTCCTGGGCCATGTCCCCTCCCCAATATCTTAACCTCAGATCTGCCCCCCCCCCACGGAAAACCTACATTCAGCACTGTTTAACATATTGATACAGTCCTCTGACTCCTGAGCCATGTCCCAACCCCCATCTCTTAACCACAGATCATCAGCCCTACCCCCAGGGAAAACCTACATTCAGCACTGTTTAACATATTGATACAGTCCTCCGACTCCTGGGCCATGTCCAGTAGAAGGTCGTTTATTGGTTGATCAGTATCTGTATTCAACTGCAACACAAAACACAACACATCTAAAATTAGAATGGAAAATTTAAATCATCAATTCAATGTGCAGTTTATTATAAGACAACTATCTGCTTTATTAGCAACATTGAAACAAACGAAAATATGTTCAGTACACCAGGAAATTTTCGCCCAGTCAAACTTTCACCTTTCGCCTGTAAAATCCAAAAACGTCCAGCGTTAATTTTCCTTTCACATTAGTTACCATACTATGTAAATTTGGTTGTTGACTAATGTTTGCTGTTATGATAAATTTGCCTGCATTTCAGGCGGTGAAAAAGTTGAAAATTAAACTGCAGCGAAATGTTCAGGGTATACAGTAGATCACAAATCTGAAAATACAGGGGGCTAACACCCAAAATTATAAAAGCATGTATACATTTTTTTTATATCACTCTTCTGGCAGTCTAAACCAGGGCTAACTAAAGGTCAATCATAAATATCTGTTATCTAAAGCATGGATTTATTTCCACTTAATACGGTATATCTGCTTATAACAAATATGGCTGCATCCCTTAAGGACTGTGCAAGAATGTTCTAGCTTTGATGAAACTGCAGAAATCTGTCCCAAGAGTTTTAATTCCTTCTTTCTATTGATGACCACACTCAAGTCGTGAATTTGAGTACGGGACAGAAAATGCTTGCAACTGTTGTTATTGTATTATTAACTCATTCACCCCTGCAGGCACATTTAAACTCTTCCAATTCAAAGGTTGGAATATTTCATTATGAAACTTCAGGGTGAATGAGTAAACAGTAAGTTTCAAAGAATCCCGACGCTTCAGTCTAAAATCCTCACCTGCATTCGCAGTGTACTGTCCATCTCGTGAAGTTTAAGTATCTCCTTAAGCAGGGCTCGGCGGTCCTTCATCTTCTCCATGATGTCGGTGTCCAGCACTCGAAGCTTGTCTGTGTAAGGGACACAGGGGCTCAGTCTCATAGCAACATGCATCGTGATGCAATACCAGACTGACGGAACACACTACCACGGTAACGAACACCTCACCCTCTCCCTCCTAACACAAGGTCACTACTTACACAAAAAGCTTTGCTAAACAGTAAATCTTTAAAAGTGACCAATTTATAAAACTAAAACACCATTTCTGTACAAAGGAATTTTTTCAGTTATTTTTTTGTTGACATGAAAAAGTCTATCTTTTCAAAAACTTATTTTTAAATCCATTTGTATATTTTTAACAATTTTAGAAATTTCAAGATGAAATAATCATTCTACCATTCAAAGAATTCATATAATTAAGGATCCCCGTCCCACTGCAGGCAAAACACAACAAAATTCCACAGGTTTTTTGTATGCACAGTAACCTCCCCTTGATTTAGTTTCAAATATTACTGTACCATTGATGAGCTAGCTCAGGTGGCTAGCACGCCTGGATTGGCAAGTCATGGGTTCGAACCCGTCGGGCCATGTTAGAACACTGTTGTTTACTTCACCTCTATCATTATTTCCTTAAAAAGTTCTCTTTTTTTGCAGTGGTACGAGGATCCTTAAACACAGTTTTTGTTGTGAATAGAAGGATTCTTTTCCTTCCAATTTAATTTCACTGATGCAGATGTAATACCTGGAGAGGGTGGACCGTGGAGTGTGACGGCTCAGGTGTGTCACATGCAGCAGAGTGTTCCGCATGACTGGCTACAGTGTTAGTAATCTCGATCTTTTCTCGCCAAAATCCACAATTAAAAGTTATATTAAACAGAAAGGTACATAAACAACACAACCAAACTCTATGTGTCAAATAGACTTGATTTTTTTCAAAAATGAAAAATAATTTTAGTAAAAAAATTCTTTTATTTTATATATATATTTTTTTAAATATATTTATTATAAAATTTAAAAAATTACAAGAATGATCAAATATCTTTTAACCCTAAAAAATGTATTAATATTTTCTAAATATTTTGTTTCATTCTTTTTAAATTTAAAAACTCCAAGTAAAATTTCTTTTCTTAATTTATAATATATATTAATAAGATTCATTAAAAATAAATCCTGAATTTTCGCCATTTTACAAAACTAGTAATGTTGGATTTTGACTGGAAAAGACACTAAAGAACTGATGAAGTTAGATTATCTAAATATACTGGGCACGACAAGACATCATTGGAACAAATAAACACTCGAAACCATGGCTGCTAGCTAGGCTGCCACGACGACTGTTGCCATAGTGATGTAAACATGGAGGATGAACAGGAAGTATAGCTCCAACAATCATGGACAACAACAGCTGTAACCATGCCAACATACAAACGCCCTTATAAGGAGAAATATATATATATATCACACATCTAATATATGGGAGATTTTAGTTCAGAAACAAAGCTCTCGTAGGGACTACATCTACTAAGTCATGTGATGCAGCAAAGCTTGTCACTACCAATGTATCTCAATTTATTTTTATTCATAGGATACACAAACTTACAGCCTATCCAACAGTCTTCCTCAATGAATTGAATATTACTATGATACTGATGTTGAAATGTTATCTCGGAACATGCACCCCCTTTCACAATAGATTTCAGGAATACAGGAATAAAAAAAATCCATTGTGAATAATTACAGGTCTACTGAAACTACAAAGTTGTGGTTGTCAATCAAGATAAATACTTTTCTCATTTGGAAGTGAGGTATATTTCATAAAAAAACTTTGACTGTTCCATATTGCTAAAGATTTTTTTCAAACTTTCCCTGATTGTCTACGGTGGCCTTACTTTCCCCGATTGTCTTCGGTGGCCTTAAGATAGTTATAAAGCCAGAACTTCTAAATGTCTGTGCTGTTGACTCATCTAGTAACCTGGGCATAACACACCACACTTAGGTACTAAATCTACTGAACATGTAACAGCTTTAACTGTTTACATAGACTGTTGATTTCATTACAGGGTGGGGGTGGGGGGTGG